GAAACGTGTCGGCCCCCACCACAGTTGTCGAAAACCAGTGCGCAATCGCGGCGGGGTGGCCATCATAGCGTCTGGTGGGCCTGCGCATAGCAGGCAATATGCCAGCACCCCCGCCGTCCCAGTCAAAATCCAATGCGCAGTGATCGCGGGGTGCCCACGCATGCTCCAGATTTTGCCTCGAAGTGCATTTTGTGTCGCGCAGCAGGCAGCAGCACGCAATATGCGGGCACCCTGCCGTCCTTGTCACAAAACAATACAATGTGCTCGCGAGCCCCCCCAAGACCAAAGCTTTTGCCCCAAAGTGGACTCCGCATTGTTTTTTAGCAGGGGTCGGGGGGGGAGGCTCTCATTGGTCCTGGTTGGCTGCCGGTCGCCTGGAGGAGGGGGCGTTCATGCAGCACCCCGCAGTAGCGGATAAGGGGCGGGCGCGGGGTGGCTCCCGAGTGGGTCGGAGGCGCTTCGCGGATGGGTCGCGGGTCGCGGGGTGGATCGCGGGGTGGGCCGCGCGTGGGTCGAGGGTGGGTCGCGAGTGGGTCGCGGGTGGGTTGCGGGTGGGTCGCCGGCGGGTCGCGTTTTGTGTCGCGGGCGGGTCGCGGGCGGGTCGCGTTATGGGTCGCGGGTGGGTTCATGGATGGGTCGCGCGTGGGTCGCGTGGTGGTCGCGGGGGGGTCGTGGGTGGGTCGCGTGGTGGTCGCGGGGTGGACCCATGTGGGACGACGATAACAATTAACAACAACACCACCAACAATAGCAACAGCATCAACACCATTACCAACAACACCCCGACCAGCAACAACAACACCAACAACACCAACCAAACTATTACTGTCATTCTGCTATTTTACGACTACTACTACTACTACTACTACTACTACTTTTACTACTATTACTACTACTACTATTATTACTACTACCACTACTACTACTACTACTACTACTACTACTACTACTACTACTACTACTACTACTACTACTACTAAAACTACTACTACTACTACTACTACTACTACTACAACTAGTAGTAGTAGTAGTAGTAGTAGTAGTAGTAGTAGTAGTACTACTACCACTACTACTACTACTACTGCTACTACTACTAGCACTAGCACTACCACTACCAGTACTGCTACTATTTCTTCTGCTATTCCAAGTTTTACTACCTCTGCGACTACTACGATTACGGCGACTATCATTATTATTACTACTACTACTACTACTATTTCCACTGCTGCTACGTTTACCACAGCTACTACTACTGCTACCACTGCTACTATTACTGCTACTTCGACTGCTACAACTACGATTTCGACTACGACTGCGACTACTACTGTTACCACTACAACTACTACTACTACTACTACTACTACTACTACTACTACTACTACTATACGACTACTACTGCTGCTACTGCTACTGCTACTGCTGCTGCTACTGCTACTACTACTGCCGTTAGGCGTACGAATTCTACTCATATGTTTATTCTTACTATTACCACTACTACTACTACTACTACTACTACCACTACCACGACTATCACTTGATACTATTCTTACTACTACTACTACTACTGCTACTACTACTACTACTACTACTAGCACTACTACGACTACTATCACCTCTACTACTACTACTACTACTACTACCACTACTACTACTACTACTACTACTACTACTACTACTGCTACTACTGCTACTCTTACGACTATTTCTAGTACTACTACTGCGACAACTACTACCACCAGCTCCTACCTACTACCTACTACCTGTTACATACTAGCTACTACCTTTTAGTACTACTACTACTACTACTACTACTACTACGGCGACGACTACGACTACTACTACGACTACTACTACTACCACCTATTACTACTACTACGACTACCACTGTTACTATGACTACTACCACCATTACTACTACTACTACTACTACTACTACTACTACTACTACTACTACTACTACTACTACGACTACGTTTACGACGATGACGATGACTACTACTATTACTACTACTACTACTACTACTACTACTACTACTACTACTACTACGACTACTACGACTACATGTACTACTACGACTACGACTACTACGGCTACTACTTTTAGTACTACTACAACAACTGCTGCTACAACTACTACTATTACGGCGACGACGACGACGACGACGACTACTACTACTGTTATAGCCAACACCAACAACATTTACGCTACCGAGGATCGCCACATACTTATATTATGGCTGGGGTGATAGCTGAAGTGAAGCACGTGAGAATGATGTTGGTGGCTGTTGCCCCTTCCGATACCGCTGCATGTCGAAAAAGTGCCGCGACAGTTGGGCCCTCGAGCATTGGTGCGTCCAGAGACCGCGGTGCAGGACCACCCCTGCCACCTCCTCTGGTGTCGAGAAAATGCCACGCCTGCTGGGCCCTGCAACATTGGCGCGTATAGAGACCGCGGTGAGGGCCGCACCCCCTTATGGTGCGGAGAACATACCACGCCTGCTACGCCTTGCGACATTGGCGCGAATGGACATCGCGGTGAGGGACCACGCCCCGCGCACCCCCTCTGGTGTCGAGAAACGACTACGCCTGCTAGGCCCTGCGGCGTTGGCGCGTATAGAGACCGCGCTGAAGGACCACACCCTGCGCACCCCCTCTGGTGTCGAGGAAGTGCCACACGTGCTAGGCCCTGCGACCTTGGCGCGTATAGAGACCGCGCTCAGGGACCACCCCTTGCGCACCCCCTCTGGTGTCGAGAAAGTGCCACGCCTGCTAGGCCCTGCGACGGTGGCGCGTATAGAGACCGCGCTCAGGGACCACCCCTTGCGCACCCCCTCTGGTGTCGAGGAAGTGGCACACGTGCTAGGCCCTGCGACCTTGGCGCGTATAGAGACCGCGCTCAGGGACCACCCCTTGCGCACCCCCTCTGGTGTCGAGAAAGTGCCACGCCTGCTAGGCCCTGCGACAGTGGCGCGTATAGAGACCGCGCTGAAGGACCACCTCATTCGCACCACCTCCGGTGTCGAGAAAGTGCCACGCCTGCTAGGCCCTGCGACGTTGGTGCGTATGGAAATCGCGGTGAGGGACCACCCCCCGCGCACCGCCTCTGGTGCCGAGAAACGGCCACGCCTGCTAGGCCCTGCGGCGTTGGCGCGTATAGAGACCGCGCTGAAGGACCACACCCTGCGCACCCCCTCTGGTGTCGAGAAAGTTCCACACGTGCTAGGCCCTGCGACCGTGGCGCGTATAGAGACCGCGCTCAGGGACCACCCCTTGCGCACCCTCTCTGGTGTCGAGAAAGCAGCTTGGCTGAACTGTGCTGTGTTGAGCTGTGCTGTGCTGCGCAGTGCTGTGCTGTGCTGTGTACGTGCTGTGTGTGTGTGTGTGTCAATGTGCTGTGTGCTGAGCTGTGCTGTGTTGAACTGTTCTGTGCTGCGCAGTGCTGTGCTGCGCTGTGTACGTGCTGTGTGTTAATGTGCTGTGTGCTGTGTTGAGCTCAGCTGTGCTGTGCTGTGCTGCGCTGCGTTGTGCTGCGGTCTGCTGTGTGAGAAGGAGAGGGAATGGGATGGGAGGTGTGCAGGAGACGCGGGTGCGACGCGGCAGGGGTGAAAACCATAACTCCACGAAACATGTGGGGAACAGCAACAGCAACATCAATAGCAACAACAGTCCACACCGTGGAAGCCCATTTCAGCCACGCACCCAGGGACAGTGAGCGAACGTTCGGCCCCCTCATTCCGATTAATAGGGAACGGTGGTTGCACCCTCCCCGAAGGGGAAGACATTGTTGGAAGGTGGAGCGCGCTGAACCATTTCCGCCCAGATGGGACTACTCCTCGTTCAAGGAGGCCTCCCCGACGAAGAGACAGAAACATTGTATGGGGTCAGAGCGAGGAGACTAGTAAGTTCTAGCATCAGTAATACATCTTGGGTTTGCTTTGGTCCTCGCCCAGATCCCCTGCTTTCCTCTCCTTCAGCGTGAAGAACTTGCAACTTCCAGACCTTAGGCCAGGGCCACCACGCGGGTGCGAAGTTGGTCGCTCCTCGAGCTTTGCGGTCTGGGGGATTTCAGAGCGATTCGTGGGTCCCTCCTCCTTCGTGGGTCCCTCCTCCTGTTCCGCCGGGCGGCGCGAGCGCGCGAAAGCGGGAAGAGAATCGCGCTTCGCGGAGCGCGAAGCGCGACAATAGTTGCCCTAGTTAGGGTCGAGCGACGCCGCCGCGTTTTTCTCAGCCGCCGCCGCCGTCGTGCGCCGCCGCCGCCGAGCGTCGCCGTCGCCGAGCAGAGCTGCCGCCGAGCGCCGCCGAGAGAGCCCCCCGCCGCCAGGCGGCCACGGCGACGTCGTCGAGCGTCGCAGTCGCCGCCGCCGCGGGCGCCGCCGCCGCCGAGTGCCGCCGTCGCCGAGCGAGGCTGTTTCGAGCGCCGCCGAGAGATCAGGATGCAACTCTCGGGGGATTGATTTCCGAATCGGCGCTGGCACATCCTTGGTCGAAAAACCGGCCTAGCCTGGGTGAAGCCCGTGCATGCAGTCCGGTTTGACCACGCTGCTTCATTTGGCCTAATCCCGCTTAGTCCCAATCTTGGGTTGAATCTGGCCATCTGGCCTAGCCGCCCAGCCCAGCTTAATTGCCTCCTTGTTGGCGCTGATAATAGTCTCTACCCGGTCTGGCGAAGACAAGAGAGAGAGAGAGAGAGAAAAAAAAAAAAAGAGAGAGACAGAGTCCCCTTGGGCCGCAATCGAGGAGAACCGCTTGCATTGACAAATCTCATCGTGGGGGTCTGTCGAGCGTCGCAGCTGCCGCCGCCGAGCGCCACCGTCGCCGTGTGCCGCCGCCGCCGACCGCCGCCGAGAGACCCCCGCCGCCGCCAGGCGGCCACGGCGACGCCGTCGCACGTCGCCGCCGCCGTCGCCGCCGCCGCGCGCCGCCAGCGCCGCCAGCGCCGCGCGCGTAGCGCCGAGCGGCGCTGCTTCGAGTGCCGCCGAGAGAGCCGCCGCCGCCGCCAGGCGGCCACCGCGGCCAGCTCCGTCAGCACCTCCGCTGGCCTCACGCCCGGGCCCTCGGAGGGCCGCCCGGAGTCTGCCCAGGAGCCAAGCGGGCGGGCGGCGTGCCTCCGCGGGGCTCGCGCGGCCAGGCGGCCAGGCGGCCGCCCAGGGGCCGGCCGCCGCCTCGGGCCTCCGCTCTTGCGGGCAGTGCCAGGGTCCGGGTCTCTAAAACGACGCGAAGATCGGGACAAAATCGGATCGGGATAATACGAAATCTCTGAGAATCGGCGGGCTTGGAGGATGTATTGGGCGCCGCGGCCGCTCCAGAGCGTTCCGGAACGCTCTGAGAGCGCTCCGGAACGCTCTGGAGCGATTTATCCCGATCCTAGCCCTGTTTGATGGGATCGGAGCGACGGGGCCCAGGTTTTTTTGTTGCTGCCTGGCTCCAGAACGTGGTGGATGTGACTTCTAGGTTCGACCTCGGCGGCTACGGACGGCGCAACAGACACACACGTGCATGCACGCCTGCAGCAAATCCTGCGGCCATGTGTTCGCAGTCATGTGCTGCATGGCGTGGCAACGCTGCTCCAGAGGTCTAGGTCTCCCAGGTGAGGTCGGAGTAGTTAGGGTCGGAGGATCCCGCCGCATCGCCGAAGCATCGGCGATGCGGCTCGATGTGGATCGTGGTTTTCGCCACGCCGACGGCGCCGTTGTATCGCCGACGTCGCCGATGCCTCGGCGATGCCTCGGCAAAGCAATTGCGATGCGGCGTTATCCTCCGACCCCATCTGATCGGACCTCATCTGGGAGGTCTCTAACCGGGCGGGTCGCCGATTCCTTTTGGAAGTCGAGGTTCCAGGATCGAAGCTCGAGGAAGTGATTGGACGTCTTGACTTCTCCATGAAGGCTCTCGAGTTTTCTGTGAGGCCCAACTTCCTCGAGGATGTGGCGCTTCCTAAAAGGCAGTGGCGACCCCCCAGTGGCGGCCCCCCGTTGGCTTTGCCCCATCCTTACTCATCGTCCTGCGTCCGTTCCACGCTGGGCAGGGGATGGGGTTCCACTCCCAGCGTGGGGCCTACGCGTCCCAACATATCGGGAAGCGAGCCGAGTCATGGATGCCCCCCACCGCTACGGGCTCAGCTTGGGACCTCTGGCCCGCAGTTTCTCTGCAAAGACGAGCATGCCCAGAGGAAGAGCAGCACCTCCAAGTGCTGGTGCAAGTGGACGATTCACATCGCTGCGCTATCAGTCAGAGTCTCCAGAGTTTCCTCCTCCCTCCCTGAGATCTGGGCATTGCATTTCTTTCACGCTGGGCGTTTTCGTCTGGTTGTCGGGCCTCGACCCAGCCATTGTTCTGCATCCCGCGGCCGCCAGATCCCCAGATCCACCGAGTATCCCCCGAGACGACCGCCTCGCGCCGACGACGAACACGACAAGGCCTGACAGAACTGAGCATAACATAGCATGACAGAGCAGAGCATACCAGCACATGACATGACAGGACAGAGCATAACATCAGCATCACATATCATAGTTCACCAGAGCAGTACCAAGCCATAGCAGAGTATGCCACGACCGAGCGGATCATACATAACACAACAGACCATGGCACACCATAGCAGTAGAGAGCATGATATCGTATGTTATGACCGAGCGGATCAAACAGATCATAACACAACACATCATTCCATACCATTCCATCACATAACATGACTCACCCTGTCAGAGTAAAGTATGTCATACCATACCATAACGTAACATGCCATGGCAACGCATGACATGCTAGAGCGCGGCTGAACATGCAAGTGCATCTCCGAACAGATCACAGCATAACAGCACGACTTACTATAACATACACTAACATATTGGATCATATCATTCCACAACACCTTTACGCTTGCATGGCATCAGACACGATTACGAAACATACGAGGGCACCACGTAGCATGAGATACCGCAACATCACATAGCAGAGCATTACAAACCATGCCAACACATATCACGACAGCGCGTGACATCACATGCCATGTAATAACAGCTCGTTGCATCTCATAACAGAGCATATCATAGCCTGGCATGGCGGGGCAGCGCATGCCATAACTTAGCATCGCAAACATACCACCGCAACAACTGCAACAAATTTAGTGCAACAGCATAGCATTCAGTAGATTGCAGAGTGATGGCTTGACATGACACAGCATGGCATACTCTACGGACCATAGCACGACGTAGCGTAAACAGCACCACACAAGTCGCCTTCCATTACATAGCCAAGCGTACCATACCATGCCATAACACGGTGCCACAGAGCAGAACATAACATATCATACCAAACCAGATTGCGACAGGAGTGAGCATACCAGAGCATTCTTTAACAGAAGAGATACATGTGTGAACAGGGGCAACACAACAAATTATACTATAGTGCAGTGAAATCAAACACGGCGTGCGCTCCGCGGTCAGGCTGGCCACAGGAGAACACAGGCGCAGCAACGAACGATCGGACTGCATATCTATCGTGTCGTGACTGGCGTCACGGCGTCACGCAAGCCCGCCGAGAACATATCTTACGCAACAGTGCATCACATAGTAGAACAATATCGGATACATGGGATAAAACGAACTAGTTGAATATAACGAGTATGGCACACCGTATTTAGCATCACATAGAGGAGCCGTTGTACTACTGTAGCCCCTTCACCAAGGATTTGGATATTTCAGAAGTTGCTTTAACTTCATGAAACAGGTGTGTCACAGCAGAGCATCTGATAATATATTGTAACGAACTGAGCATACCTGAAACAGCATTGCAGGGAATATTCGTATCACGTCTGAACGCGGTGCCACAGAGCCGAGCATACCTTGTCACAACAAAACATGCAACGACAGAGGTGATCATAGCAGGGCTGACTTTAGCATGAGAAACACGAACTCGAAGAGGGACTTCACAACATAATAGACCGTACAATAACATAATGAAGCGCGACGTGCGCGCCGGGGTCTTCCTGGCCACATGTACAGCCAGGTGCAGCAACGGCCGACCGAACAACGTATCTAACGTGACAGGCGTCACGGCGCCACGAAGCCGCCGAAGGTTTCGGTGGGGATCGCTCGAAGCAAAATCATTTCTTCTTCACCGTCGGATCTCGGGGTTCTCCCTCCTCCTCCTCCTCCTCATCATCATCATCATCATCATCATCATCGTCATCATCATCATTTCCTCCTCGCCCTCTTCCCCATTTCCTCCTCCTCCTGATTCCCTCCTCCTCTCCTCCTCTTCCTCCTCCTCCTCCTTCTCCTCCTTATCTCTGCATCGCTTCGTAGCCGTGCACGCGCCCGCCGCCTTGGCTGCGCGAAGGCGGCCAGGAGCAGCCAGCAAAGGCGTAATGCCTTCGTTCCCCCTCGGCCTGGGTCAAGGTCTGCGGCCGTAGGCCAGAGTCGGCGGCGCGCACAGGGGGGTATGGGGCAGGGGGGGAGGCTTCTTAGAATTAGCCTGCTTCTTAGAAGGCGCCGGCCTTACATCTACAGGCCAGGCCCGCGCCTACTTAGAAGCAGGGGTGGCCTTAGCCTTAGCTTCGCCGCAGGGCGTCGAGCGCAGGCGGGCCCAACTCGCAGTATTTGGCAGCTGGCGGCTGGGCCCTCAGCCATGACCTACCGCTTGGCTTGCGTATTTCTTTTGTTGGTCTTGAAGACGCATGCGCACTGGGTCGACCCTGCAGCTTTCTGGGCGGACGCCGCGACATTGATTTCGGCAGGCCCAAACCAAACCGGAATCATTCCTCACAATGAGTTCCCAGTCAAACCTAAACCAAGCTTGGGTCTTAGGGCCAGAGTTAAATCAGAGTTCCAGTCATACCTATATCAGAGTTGGCGCTGAGGGCCAGACTTGAATGAGAGTTCCAGCGCAGACGTGAATCAGATCTTCATCAGAGTTTTGAGCCAAAACAGAGAAACAGAGCTTGCGTCAACAAGTACACTCAACCCGAGACCAGAAAGCCGCGATGATCGGATGAGAACGCCAGAAACCGCCCAGCCCCCTCGACAAGCACTGCGCTTCGGCGGCAAATTCCGAACGCCACCCTGGCCGATCAACGATTCAGGCATCTCCGTGGGCGGCGGGGCAGGGTTCCGCGCTCGTCGAACACGTGGCGCTTTGCGAACCCATCCCCCGCTTGCCGCCGATTCGGGAAAGTCCACGGTTGGTGGAGGCAGGGTTGGTTTGGACGTCGACGCCTGCTCCCCCCTGCGCGCGCCGCCGACCTCAGCGACAGGGACACTCGCCGCCCGCCAAAAACGCTCCGACCTAACCCGAAGGCCCCGATTTGCCTTGCATTTCCGGGGGTGTGGGGGGGGGTCGGGGATCGTTGAAAAACGCATATGGAGCCCGCGCCCCCCCCCCAACCCGTCATTCGGGTGTTTGGGTTGGGTTGGGGTGTCTGGTAGGTAGCCACTACTCCCCCCTGCGAGCGCCGCCGACCTCAGCCACAGGGGCACTTCCGGTATTGCATGCACGGCGGCGGCGGCGCACGACGTTGGCGGCGGCGCGGCGGCGCGCGGGGCGGCGGTTGGGGCCCTGGCGAGGAGCACGTGCCCGTCCTCGGCGGCGGCGGTGTGCGCGGACCCGCGTTGGGAGGCCAGGGGGCGTCCTGTCATGGCGCGGTCTCCTCTCGGGGGGGAATGGAGAGAAGGAAAAGGTAGACGAATGGGGCGTGTCGGAGGCGGCGGAGGAGGTCCGAGGAGGAGGAGGACGTCGGAAAAGGAGGATATGGAAAGCGGCGGAGGATGAGGAGGAGGAGGATGCGGTGGAGGTGGGGAACGAGGTGGATGAGGCGGAGGGCGGCCCGCTTAATAGCTCGAGCGGGCAAAGACAACAACACCCACCTGTCGCGCCACCTAGTAGTAGTAGTAGTGGGTTTAGTAGTAGTAGTAGTAGTAGGAGTAGTAGTAGTAGTAGTAGTAGTAGTAGTAGTAGTGGTAGTAGTACTAGTAGTAGTAGTAGTAGTAGTAGTAGTAGTAGTAGT